TTATTATTATTATTATTAACTGCTTAGCTCATTATATGTTTTAAATTAAAAACTAATTTCTTTAATTTGTTTTCTTGTTTATCTGTTTGTTTGTTTGTTTGTTTGTTTTCCTCATGCCATAAATTCTCAATATAAAACTTAAAAACACAAATCAAAATCTTGGCATTATAGCCAGTGTCAAGAAACTATCAGAAGCATTTATCACTGTGATTTTTCAAAAAAGTTCCCGGAGGTTTTGAGGAAATTCCTGTCAGAGCCTGCCATAAAGTGAATCACAATTAGGTGGTTAAAATCTGACTCCATCATAATTATATGGGTCCAGAAAGTGGGGAACTACACGAGATCGAAGCCAAATTTATATAAAGTAGAGACCTGTAATGAGCCAATTATTGCAACGCTGTTATTCACTCTGTGGCTACTGTGTATTACACTCTACTCTCTTTTCACCCTTTTCACCAACACAGTACTGGTGCCTAATCCAGAGCATGTTTCCATTCGTTTTAGCTGCAAACATGAGTGGTGCTAGTGTCGAAAAGCAGGCAGCAGCACAGGTCCTTGAAATTTCTGGTTTTAAACCACCAATGTGAACAAGTGTAGTTGGAGCTACCGCAAGAAACTTTCCCCCATTTGCTGGAAATTGTACCGACTTTTGAAATGTGATGCTAGCAACATTTGCCTCTTAAATGCAGGCGAGTTCTCAAAAGGCATCAAGGCTGAACTCTTTCCATCTCACAACATCCTAATGGAAAAGAGGTGCACAATGCTAGCCCCTTTTAACTGCCCCTTTTCATACAGATGTATCCGATGTAATGCAATAGCAGCTTACTTCATGCTATTCTGGAGGCTTCCTGTTACCAAACCTACAAGTTGGCTCATGACAGTGTGTCAGTGAAAGTGTCATGCACCTTTACTGCAGCAGACACAATAAAAGCTGGCAAGGAAGGGCTGCAGAGGAATGGAAATACAGCAGCCTGGTGTTTCCCAGAGCTGTGAGGGAGGGGGGG